AAATTCAAATTAATCTGATAAAAATTATGTTTTGCACAAAAAAAATCTTTTTTAAGTCTTTTTTTTTAAAAAAAAAACTAACAATGAAAATTTTATGATTAATGTATTTGTTGATAAATTAATAATTTCAAGATATATTTATCGAATTTTATGATTATCTTATTTCATGCATTTATTTTGTATTCCTCTAAATACATCTCATCCATTTAACAACTTAAATACAGTGAAGTGTGTTTTTGTGAAATAGATGATTTAGAGAAATAAATTATATTTTTTTTTAAACGAATGCTCTATGCGTAAAAATAAAGAAGAAATGATTTCTGATTTAATATCTTAGTTTCCACGCAATCCTAATATTGTTCGAAATAATAACCTTAAATATTTTCGTACACGATATTTTAATGGGGTGCTAATGCATACGACACAATGTCCATCCTAATATTGATCTACGGTGCAGTGACAGCCCAGTGGTAAGTTCGTGATACCCTTCAGTCTTATGTGCTGCCCATTATAGCTAAGTTCCTAAGAGTTTCTTTTAATAAGACGCTGCTGAGTCATGGTAGCTCAGGGGATAGAGAACTCGCCTCCCAATGAGATGAATCGGGTGTGAATCACGGCGATGGTTTGTCGCTACGACTTCCGCATCCGGCTTGCAATGACCACGGTGATGACGTAAAATATCCTCACTGATAGACGGGTCATGGTTTAGAGATACCATGGATCTCATGGATGTTTTAGTGGTTTTCCTATATACCTACGCAAATGTGGGTTAGTTCCATCAAGAAATCATCCACGGTGGTTATAAAATAAAAACAATTCTCAGTCACACACAGAAAGGTTGTCACAGGAATGTCTCCTCTATATTTCTTTCCTTTCCTGGCTTGCTTGATCCCCAGATTTGTAGCCGAACGAGCATACCTGGGATCATTTGGCAAGTTGGACATCCTCCAAGTTTAGTCAATTGAGCGGTGTTTTGACAGCAACTGTGGAACGAGATGCAGTAGGATATTATAAAGAACTTACATCTCTCAATGCCCCACCGCATCGCATCTTACATTCACTCTAGAGGTGGCTGGAAAAAAGGGTGATAAACCCTCCATTCTTTTGTATATTTTTCTATTAAGAAATTGCTCCTTTTTGATTTTTTTTAATCACTCATATCAATATTGTAGTTACGTATGTAAAATTTCGCTGCATTCTGACGACTCTTTCTAGGTGAACCGTTTTTCACTGCAATTTCTTAATTATTTGTAGCTTTTTAACTCAAATCATTGCCATAAAAAATTATATGGTGACGAGTGCACATAAAGTTGAAAAGTTACAAATAATTTTACAAAAATTCAGACAATTTCTAAATTTTCTTTTAACACTTAGCATTGTCTAATGAGAAAGCCTGAAATACTAGTTGAGATGTTCAAAGGAAATTTAAATAGTTCAAATATAATTTTACACCTACTTGATTAGGTTTAATTTTGTGAATTGTAAATTTTATTCTTGAGGTCAAGGATGTTGTAACTGTAGANAGTCAAACATTGGTCGCAAAGAGCTAATGCAATTTCCAACTCTTAAAAAGTGTTCAATGGCAGATATCGAGATTCTCGAAAATAAAATCTTAATTTTTACTGATCACCTTGATCAGTTATGGAATCAAGATTTAATGAAATTAGAAATTCCGGATTGGATTTTCGATCCTTTCTCTTTTGAAGTTGTGGATAAGCTCACTTCCTCTTTGTAGACTGAGATTTTAGATTTGAAGTATGACTGTCAGGCTAAAGTCGTCTTTAAAAAATACGGTTACGAGTTAGCTTGGGTAAAGCTTATGGACACTTATCCACAATTGTGGAAACAAACTGAGCCGCTTCTCATCTCGTTCCCGTCAACATATTTAGTGGAGAGAGGATTTAGTTCTGTCGTCCAGCTGCTCACAAAGCAAAGAAATAGGTTGGACATTTGCTTCAAAGGCGATCTGCGTTTGAATCTGACAAACATAAAACCTGACATTCAAGCTTTAACTGAAATACATCAAGCACAGGGCAGTCATTGAAGTGGTAAACATGTAAATTCTCACTCTTCATTTTTTTTCTCAAATTTTAGTTGTTAACGTCTTAAATTTTTCTTGATTACATTAAAATATGAATTTAAAAAAATTTACTTTTGTTTTGATGATTCCGTTTTAAATATTATTTCTTTGTGAAAAAAAAGATGCAAACTATTTTTCTAATTAATAAAAATGTCAGGATAAATTTGCCTCCTTAATTGCATTATAATTTAAATTAAAATGAAATATAACTTACCATATTTTCAGTGTTTGGTTACTCACAAGCAACAATGAATGGTTTTTGAACAAAAAGAGAAAGGGGCGATATGTGTCAGCCAACCCCAAGAGGGGGGCGATGGTCCACAAAAGGTTGGGAATCACTGCTTTAAAACATTTTAAGATTCTTAAGAATTTTTTAAGACATTTTGAATATCTTTAAGGTGAATTAAGTTTGTCTTCAAAAATTCTTAAGAATGCTTCCTGGGTTAATGTTGCCTTAAAACATTTTAAGATTCTTAAGAATTTTTGAAGACATTTTGAATAAGTTTGAACTAAGTTTTTTTTCAGTTCACACAAAATTTGTCTTTTGATATTTTCGATAATGACCAAATCTTAGTTTCTGGTTAATTTTGTGAGAATTTAAATAATTCTCTAATTAAATTATATATTTTAAAGATTTTCTGCCCTTTTTTTCCTAAAGAAATTCTTCAGATTTCTGAAGAATTTCTTAAGATTTGACTATCTCTAAAATTTCTTAAGAATTTTTGCAGACATTTTGAATATCTTTAAGGTGATCGAATTAAGTTTGTCTTAAGAAATTCTTAATAAAATATTAAGATGACAGTTTCCTAAGTTAACGTAGGAATCTTATTAACCTTAAGATTTTTTAAAAATATTTTAAGAAATTTTGCAGACATTTTTAATATTTTTAGGGTGAATCAAGTTTGTCTTAAAATCTTAAGACAGTTTCCTGACATAATTATGTTACCTTAAAGCATCTTCAGATTTTTCAGTTCACAGAAAATTTTGTCTTGTCATATTTATGATAATGATCATATCTTGGTTTTAGTCTAATTCTGTGAAAATTTCAATAATTCCTAAATTATATATTTTAAATGTTTCTGCGCTTAGTTGTAAGTCTGTTTTGCTGATCAAAAAGCGAAAAAAAATGTGCATTTATATATCCAGGTAATATATTTTTTTCTTTACATTTGCAAAATCTTGGGTTCCTGGGATATAATATTCAACATATTGTTTTAATTTATATTTCCAAAGCTAATATTGCTTTATTCTTATAATGAGGAATGAGTTACTAAATTAAAAAGTGAAATAAGATTTTTTTTCTTTTCAAGAACTTATAAGTAGATAAGAATATAACTTTTAAATATAATCATATTTTAATTTCCTCGTTGTGGTGTGTAAAATAATTTACGGTTTTTAAATCAATAAATATATTTTAATTTTACCCATATTTATTTCAAACTGAACAATTCATTAAATATGGAATTAATGTACACACTTGTAATAAAAGATTAAATCTTGTTCTGCCGATAATAATTCAATTTTAAAATGATTTCTGATCTAAATTATCTTATTAAGTATTATCAATAAATGAGTAAAGAACTTTAAAATCGGGAGCCCCTGTTATATTCGGTGACTTGTAAACACGCCTATGTATGTACATATGAAAACAAACTAAGGATTAATCACATAACGGTTAATAGAAATTGTGGTAACATGATGTTGACATCATTAAAGAAAAGAATATGGTAGTAAGCAGAAACTGAGTTTTATAGCAACATTTAACATTAGTCTAATTACGTAAAATCTGATTGAAATAAAAAATCCAATGCTTTACATATATACATTTTAATAAAACATGATTTTGTTCAGCTCTGCTAAAATGCCTCAATGTTTTGTCTAGGGCAGCTAAAACTGTTAGCATGGTGCAGGTACGAGCAGTATAAAAAAAGTCACTTATTACTTTCTAAAATGAATAAATACACTGTAAGAAAATCAAAGCATTACGAAAAACTCTGAGCAACTCCTTATATGTATGTATTTTCTTTAAATATCCCCATAATATATTTGGAAATTTAACAAACATAGAATTTTGCTAAGTTTTAAAATGACAAACCTAATACTTTTATTTTAAAATATATTATTTCATTAGACTATATCTATCTATCTATATAATATATATATAGAACGTAACAGTGTCATTAAAATGAGCATATTTTCACTGTAAAAGTACATTGCTGAACGAAACCAATATATATGTATATAATAATATGAATCTCTACATAATAAAAATAAATAAAAACATAAAGAAAAACATCCAAAGAAAGTAAATAAAAAATTTTATTTCACCAACTTAAAGAAAAAATAAGTAAAATCTATTGGTGTGCTGGTTCTTTGTATATCACTGTAAAAAAAGGAAAATAGATATACAAAACTAGAAAAGTAGTCATTACATCTTGATATTCTACAACTTGAATGTCATCTTTAATTTTAATTAATGTAAAATTAATCCAATAAGCACTTACTAATACAATAACATGCAAACAATCTCTTTATTCAAAACTTCATTAGCTATAAGAATTTATTACAGAAAATGCAGGTATAATTTGTGAACATGAACTACTTTTAAAACAAACTGTTTCAAGAATTCACAGGAAATTAATTTCAGGATTTTTAAAAATATGCAAAAATTAGCTGCGACAACGGGCGAAAGATTAATTGAAAAACAATAGAATTATGCTAAAAAGTGAATACTCAAGTAGACAATTTGAATTTCATGTATCATAATAATATTGAGATTTAAAAAAAAAGTTCAAAAATTAAACAGCAATAACTATATATACAATACAATATCATAATAATACTATATACAATACTATATACAATACACAAACTATATACAATACACATACTATATACAATATAATAATATAGAGATTTAAAAAAAAAGAAAATATAAAAATTAACAGCAATAACTACCAAAAAAAAAAAAAACTATCAAAATGCAACGTAAATTTAACATTAATCAAGGGTGTCATAAAGTAAGTACTTAAATGTGCAATTTAAATTTCTTGCATTGAAAGAGCTAATCGAAAAACAGTGGTATTTGTGGAAGAATTAGACAGAAGTTATTCTTCAGCATGAATTAATAATGGTACAAGATAGTAAACATTTTCGAGTTTTACCTGAGTATATTTTTGCAAAATAGAGTCTGCTGTAAATGCAATTATGGATTCGTTGTATCTATTTTCATGACTATCATTTTTAACACATAAAATATCTGAACAAAGATTACAAACATCAGCATCATTTTTATAAAATTTCCTGGTTTTCAATTTTTTCCCAAGAAAAATCGCTTTATCACAGCAAACAATTATTTTGAATATTTTAACAAAATATATCTTTGAAGTAAGAATGGAAATAATAGAATCTATACGGTTAAATTGTTGAGAATATTCCTCAGTAGAAAATAATATTTTTTTATGCATTGCTCTTTTAAATGTAAGGACTTTACTGTTATCTAATGGTGTATTTAAAATATTTTCAAGAGCTTCTTTTTGAATTTTAGGTAATTTTTCACTTGTGCCAGATCCAAAAAGTACAACGTCTTTTACTACGAGGGTCTTTTTTGTTTCCTTCTTACCACGCTTCATGTCTTCAATGAATTTTCGTACTCTTTCATTCCTAATGTCTTCTAACACTAATGTTTGAAGCAATGTTTTTTTTCAAATAAGCAAATAAAATTTGCATGGGAACTCCTTTTGTACCCTGATGGAAATTTTTTAATTTCCCTAGAGCATCCTCATATGCAAAACAGGAAGATGCACATAAGGGACCCCACGATTTCACTTTGTCAGGAAGATGTAACAATAAATGAACATTATACGTTAGTTCCCCTTCACCATAAATTTCTGTCACACCTGTCACAAATTTCTGAATGGCAGATTCAGCTGTCTGCAAATCACTAGACTTTATATTTGTGCCTAGAAGAATAGTTATAGCATGCACAAGTAATATCCAATGATTATACGTTGTTGGATTCAGAACATTTAATAACAGCACAGGTGAAGTGAGCAAAAATATTCTCCACTCTGATGCTTTCCAATGGATAACATCTCCGAAGGAATGGAGTTTTCTTGTGACTTCACTGGGCTCTTTCAAATTATTTATTCTATCATTTACTTCGGAAACATCTCTCTTCTTCAGACAATAAGCTTCATCAGATGTTGACAACCGTAAATTAACAAACTGTCTTGTAACGCCTAACAAAACAGAATGCATATAGTCGGGGACAAACCCCTCAACCATGTCAAAATAAGGATACAGTTTCATTAAAAGGGAAGAACCCTTCACACCTTTTACCGGTTTATCCATATTTACTGCAATTTCTGCATACTCAACAGATGTGCCAAATGTCCGTTTTGCAGGAAGAGGGTTTGAAACTTTATAAACTCTGCTGTGACCCCGCCCTCTTTCTATTCTCTCTCCCTCATTTTCACAAAATCCACAACTGAATTTTCCATTGTACTGGTTGAAATTTTGCAGCATGGCACGTGCAGGAGCATCTGCAGTGCATAAAATTGGAATCACTCTTGAAGAAAATATCTTACCATTATTTTTCCACGACAGTCCTTTTTCACATAAAACTTTAAGTTCTTCAACAAAAGGCTTTAAATAGGTTTTAAAAACAGGTTTGCTTGAACCAAACCATAGGCCACACATCATTATATTTTCCTTACGTTTTGAAGGAGGTAACTCATTGATCATACAATGGATAGGCCAAAGGTTATACTTTGCTTTGTGGTACATTGGAATACCATCCACATTGTACTGTAGAGTTAAATTGCTTGTCATTTCAGACATTAAGTATTTATCACCACTAATAATATCCTTATAATAACCGTCTCGATTAATACAGTGAGCACGATAGTTCTCTATATCAGCAAAGAGAGTCTGCTTTTCAAGTTTTTTTCTCAGTTGATCCTCTAAAGGTATATAAATAAAGAACTTCCCTTCATCTAAGAGCTCAGATGATAATTTCTTTTCTCACAAAGAGTGCACAAAACTTCTTCATTACTTTTCTCCATTTCTGAAATATAATTATTACAATTGGCACAATAAAGGTGAATTTTGTAAGATTTGTCACCTGTTGACGATTTTATTGCTTTGTTTAACAGGTACTTGGTACCTGGAATAGAACATGGTGGTAATAAAAGTTTCAACAACCGGAGTAATTCTTCAACACATACACCAGATAAATGGAACCGTACACAAAATGACAAAATGCTTAAAAATGCTTCATAATTTGAAATATCGGCTGATTTATACAGAGGAGAAAAAGGATCTTCCACACCAAAATTATTCTCAAAATGAAGTGGATCATTAACTTCCTCAGTCATCTTTGTTGCGGAACAGACTTCATCTTCTGACAGATTTTCGAAATCCATAGATTCACAGGAATCACTAGTCACGCTATCCATCATAGAATCAGTAATCTCCCTATAGAGAGAAGTAAATTTTTAAATGTATGTTAAACATATACCAAGATATAAAAATGCATTCTGAAAATTTAATTTTGAAATTTTTATTCCCCCCTCCCCGTAAATTTAATCTAAAAGCAATAAAATGATCTAACAGCAATTAATAAAGATTTCTATATCATGATATGTGGCAAAATAATCGGCAAATCTTGGCAACTTCTAGGTGGTGGCCTGCGAGAAAAAAATTCTAAATGAAAAATACATCACAGAAAGGGACCAACTTGAAAGGTATAACTCGTAGCCGCCACTTCCGTGCAAAACTTTGAAACATTGGCGATTGTGATTGGTGAAACAGGTCACGATATGGAAATATCATGTAGTATATGAAGTAGAATATGGTAGGGGTCCTATTCCATATAAAGAATCCCGTGGCAGATAGTTTGTAAAAATTCTGCTTCAGGGGATAAAGAACATGTTTTGTAAAATGACTAAGCTTTTAATCTTAACACTATTTTGAGAAATCTCAGAATTCAGTTGTAATTTGTAAAAATTTAATGATAAAATAAATTTTTCTTACAATTACAAGTAATTTAAATTGATAAAATAATAGCTTAAAAATAATAAAATAACTTTAAAGTTACATTAAAGTTAATTACAAATTTCTCATATTGATGATCTCTTGAACGGATAAAAATGAAAATTAGGATTTTTGCTTCAATTTTCGATACATTTTTTTTATCTTTATGAAAGCTTTAAAAGTGATTTCGAAGTTTCATACGACTACTAGTAGGTAATTAGACGGATATTGAATCTGCTGAATCTAAAAATGCTTCTTGAATATCATAACAAATTTAATCGATTCAGTTAAAAACAGATCTTAATACAAAAATTTCTTATATATAAAATAAATTACATAAATGAAACATACCTGGAATCAACTGGGTACACAATTTCAGATATTGCATCATTCTCTTTCACAGAATTTTCTTGTATTCGACGTCTGTAGATAGTTCTTCTAGGAATTGCTCTCATTCTGGGATCTGTTAAAACTCATAATTTGTCAAATAAAATTTACTTTCGACATCTGGCAGCTACGATAAGTAGTATATAAGCTCCGACTGATTTCAATCCTTGCTCTTGCTTTGTATTTTCGCATATTATTCGGTTTGATTAAATTCTCCTAATATTGTTTTCTTTCTTTTTTTACTATTGTTTAATCATCTACTTTACAAATATGAATCAAGCAAATTTATTTGAGCTTGTTAATTTTCATGAGGAAAACAATTTCAGCGTTCTACGCCTAAAGGATGCATTGACCACCACAACATCCCATTACTTTGCTAATGATATAAATTTAGCATGTTGGGATACAAATCGAGAAATCGAGGCTAAATATGGTGACGACATATATCCAGCAAAATTTCTTCAGTTTGGCTGTAAGTATTGTTTTTTATATTAACTAAAAAGCAACTTATTATTTTCATGTATATCATATGTTAAAATGCAGAATTTAACGTGTATGTGCGCGATGAAAAAAATTTAATTTCTCAGAAAATATTTGATTGATTTCGTCCTAATTTTGAGATTTATTATAATCCCCCCCCTTATTTACTATTTTGCCATGTTTTATATTTAGCAAGCAAAGAATGCTGCCACATTCTTTAAAATGATATAAAAAATTGTGTACCTTAATATTCGAAATCTTTTCCATTATTATTAAATAAAATAATGAATAATTGTTAAAATTATATTCCGCATGAAATTATCTTAACATAGACGAATTTTACGATTGTGTGCAAAAACTTTTCAATTCACTAAAGTTCCCAGAAAAACGCGATTACTCGAAAAGTAATATTAACTTTTAGGGGTCCAAACTTTGGACTGAAATATATCTGATCAAACTAATGTAAATCAATTTTATAGATTGTAGCTACCCTCTTTATTTTGATATTTCTGTTATTCTCCTTAGTATTTCTGTTAGGAATTTTTATCATAAAAAATTGTACATTTATCAAAATAATATATCTTTATTTATTTTTTCCCATATAATTATTTTATCCTTACTTTATTTTTCAGCCAATAAAAAGAGCATGGAAGAAATTGTAGATAAACTAATTTCGAATGAGATATCACCCGAGGATGTCGAGTTAATTCAAAAGGAAGAAGTCCCCCCCCCCAAGCGCAAGAGGGAACAAGTAAAGGAAAAAGTCAGCAGTTCAAAGTGAGCCTTTTAGTTATATAAACTGTATTATGTTTAATGTAGCTTTAAAACACGTGTCATAGTGTAAATACCATATCGAAGTTTTATAGTGGGATACTTTCATTGGCTTCTTGCAACTGCAAAATGTGTTGTTAAGAAGTTGGGCTATGGAACAGAGACGCTACTTCAATTTACCCCTTGCCTGTAGAGGAAAATTTCAAAATTCACCTCTCCTCTTTTGATGTGTGTTGGACAGAAAAAAAGAGTGACGTCTAACTGAATTTGACTGAAATTCTTTTTAGGTCTATTGCTTGTAAAAGCTGCGGGAGTAGTTTTACTAAAACCAACCTTCTCATTTCTAAATGATTTTAAAAATGCGTGCTAAAAGTAGAACGTCCTGCGAAGTATGTAATTCTAGAAACAAGAAAGCAGAGCATTGTGTACTTGGGAGAGGAGTATATAAACGCCAAGAGTAGTTAACACATCGGCTCGGCAAAGTGTGTATGCAGATCTGTGGCAGGCAAGGGGTATAATAAATGGTAGTCAAGAAATACAGAGGAAATAGTTAATTAAAATAAGCCATCATTGATGTAACAAAGTGACCAAGATGTCCGGTGTGCTTGAGCCAGCATGCAGTCTTTTTGTTTTTGCCAAGAACGTAATGAGAAAAGTGACAGTGAGAGAAATTATGAGAGTTATAATTTAAATTTAGTACTACGAAAACGGTTCCATTACACATTAGTCACTTTTAAATTTTGATCAACAAATTTTCTTTCTTTTCTATTTTTTTATTAAAATTATAATTTATTTTGTCTTGATTTTAAAGAAACTAAAAAACTGTTATTTTTTGTATTCAAGAAAGTAATTTAATAATGAAAGAAAACATTCTTTAACTTTATTATATTTTTGATGCATTTTATAATGTGAAGTAGAAAAGTGAACATTCTGTACTAACTTCTGTGGGTTACAAGTAACAAACTTTTTGTTCAAAAATCAAAGTAGATAATTTAGTAGATCTTTCTCTATCTTGGTGGATAACCGTTTAACACGCATAGATTAAATGTTATGCCGGCTGGCATAACATATTAAAATACAGCTCAAAGCCAGTTGTATTCTTAAGAGCTGATTTTGAAAAAAGAACATCTACTTAGAGCTTTGTACTAATCAAAACTAAAAACCAGTTAGATGTTGAATTAGAATTCTTAAAAATTATTTTTTTAAAGTTCTTAATTTATTTTTATACTTCAAAAAGATTTGATCCTTAATATTAATAATTTAAAAAAAAAAGCTGCTTTTTTAATTGAATTTTTGTGCATGGCGAAAATATTTTAATTGTAGTATTAAACATAATTTTTCTTTGTTTCTAAATAGTGTTATGTACTAATGTTCAGTTTTTGCTGCTATGAGTTTAATTTATCTGTTTACTAAAAGTGTATGGATGTTAATCAAATATTAATTCCTTTCTTTTGCTTCTAGAAAAAAAGCAAAAAACACTAAATCTGCTATGAAAGAAGAGGAATTTAACATTATTAGATATGCCAAGGTTCATGCAGCAGGAGTAGCCGCCAGCAGTGATAATTGTGCCGATTGCCTTATATTCAAAAACAAAGTTGAAGTTTTGTTAAAAGACAACATCGCAAAAGAGAAGGAAGTCGAAGAACTGAAAAATTCTAATAGTGTTCTCCGAGAAAAATATTTGAAACTTAAATCCAAATATAAAAGTGTGAAGGATCAATTGAATAAAACAACTGCAACTGAGGCGAAAGTTGAAACAAGTAGTGAACTCACTGTGTTAGGGCCAACATTGACAGTGGACACTTATCGCCTCAGTTGTTGTCGTATCAACGACTTCTCTAAGTTTACAGGGGATTTGTTGGATGTAGTCTTTGGACCAGAAGTGCTGGGCACCAGTGTGCTTAAAGGAATTAAAGGGTGTCGAAAGTCGACCATTTTAAACCCTGACACTATAATGGAAATACAAATGTATGTTTCAAAAAAATTTAACGTGTCTGTTCTCCAACTGAGAAATGTTATCAGACAAAAGTTAAATGTATGTCATAAAGCATATAAAAAAATGTTTGATGATGTTGCGAGCCAATAAGTGTGTGAAATTATGAATAAAATTTATTTTATACTGTGCATTATTTGTTTTAAAGTGAATTTATTTAGTCCCTTTTCGAATTAAAAGGTAAGTAATATTTATTTATTCCTTTTTATATAAATTAAATAAGTAAAAGTTAGTATTACTTTTCTATAATTCGAAGGAAAGAAATGATTGTGAATGCTGCAATCTGTATAGATGAGCTTTGCAAAATGTGAATTATTTATACTTTCAACGCATACTCTCCACTTTGTTTAATAGGATGGTCATTCAGTCTACTTAAGCCCAAATTAAAGTTCATAAAAAATAAATGCATTTATAACCTACAGTTTTCTTTTTCTAAGAGGTTTTTTGAATAATATGCCTTTACTGATAATTATTTAAGTATATCAGTCAAAATGTTTTATTAATTGCATCGTCATCTAGAATATGAAACTTGATTTAAAAATTAATTTCGGTAATAGATTTTGAATACACAAATGTTCATTAAACTTTTAAATGAAATAATAAAGTTGTTTATTTTCTAAGGAAATTTGTCATATGTTTGTAAAGTTCAGAAAAATATTGTGTTAGCAAGCAAAGTTTATGTATATATAAATTTATACAATGTAAGTAAGAAAAATTTCATAGAATTTCTTAAATATGCTTTCAGCTAACATTAAGAAATATTTTTAGAAAAAAATTAAGATATCAAAGATATATGTTCTCTAGAATGTTAAATATATATTTTCTAAAAGAAAAGAAATCTGTTGAATATCTCTAGTTATTTGTCCCACATAAACCTTAAGAAAACCTTAAGATTATATTCTGAAGATTTTCTTCAGACAATATTCTTAAGAAAATCTTAAGAATAAGTGGGCCAAATAACTTGAAGATTTTCTTAAGATTTTTTTTTAAGAAATTCTTAAGAATTTTTTTAGTGGGGTATTTTCAAATACCAATTGCTGAAGAGAATAAGCGAAAACTTCCATAACAACACCATTTGGACTTTACGAATTCAACGTCATGAGTTTCGGCCTGCGAAATGCTCCGTCTACCTTTCAGCGGTTTATAACTGAAGTTTTACATGGATTAGATTTTGTCTTCCCATACTTGGATGACCTTCTAATAGCCTCATCATCACCAAAAGATCACAGACTACATCTTTCCCTACTCTTTGAACGTTTACAGAAATATGGATTTTGCATAAATTTAGCTAAGTCAGTGATGGGTGTTGACCAAGTTGAATATTTGGGATATCTCATTACTGCAAATGGCTCTCAGCCACTTCCAGAAAAAGTTCAAGCCATAACTGATTACAAATTACCACAAACGATAAAGGAACTTAGAACATTTCTGGGAATGATAAATTTCTTTAGACGTTACTTGAAAAATGCAGCAGAAACACAAGCACCTCTACACGAAATGTTAAAGGGTGCCAAGAAAAATGACCGACGGCCTGTGCCATGGACAGAGGAAACCATACAGTGTTTCGAAAAGTGCAAAGCAGATTTGGCTAATGCTGCCCTCCTTAGTTTTCCCAAATCTTCTCTACCATTATCCTTGTGCACAGATGCCTCAGATGTAGCTGTTGGTGCTGTATTGCAACAACTAGAAGATGGTGATTGGAGACCAATTTCTTTTTATTCGAAAAAACTCAACGACACACAAAAAGGATATAGTACCTATGATCGAGAGTTACTAGGTATATATCTGGCTGTAAAAAAATTTAAATATCTTATAGAAGGTCGTGATTTTTGTATATACACGGATCACAAACCGATAATATTTGCATACAAGCAAAAAAATGAAAAAGCCTCCCCCAGACAGCAACGCCAATTGCAGTACATCTCAGAATTCACTACAGACATTCGTCATATTGAAGGCAGTAAAAATTTAGTTGCTGATGCCCTATCAAGATTAGAAGCAGTGTCAGTCATCGATTATGATGCCATAGCTGATGCACAAGTAGATAATGCTGAATTGCAAAAATTGATGATTGATAATGTTTCACTTATATTTAAAGGATGTATTTTGCCATCAGGAAAAACTCTTTGGTGTGATAGTTCTACACTGAATATAAGACCTTTCATCCCAGAGAAGTTTCGAAAACAAATGTTTAATCAAGTTCATGGGTTATCGCACCCTGGTATCAAAGCAACTGTGGCACAAATGACAAAAAAATTCATATGGCCTGATATGACTAAAGAAATTCGAGAATGGGCTAAGACATGTATCCAATGTCAAAAAGTAAAGATCCACAGGCATACCAAGTCTCAATTTTCCGAATATCAAGAACCAGATGCCAGATTTAGTATGGTACATATAGATTTAATCGGTCCTCTACCTCCTTCAGAGGGTAAGATGTACTGTCTGACATGTATAGATAGGTATACCTGTTGGATGGAGGCCATCCCTATACCAGACATAACAGCGGACATTGTCAGCAGAGCTTTTTACGAAAACTGGATAACACGTTTTGGTGTGCCAACACAAATAATAACAGATCAAGGGAGGCAATTTGAATCACAACTGTTTAGAAGTTTGGCTGTGATATGTGGTGCCAAAGTACAGCATACAACACCATATCACCCACAGAGTAATGGAAAGGTGGAACGTTTTCACAGAACCTTAAAAACAGCCATAAAGGCCCATTCCAACATCCGATGAACAGAAAGCTTACCTACAGTGCTCTTAGGGTTGAGAACGGTTGTTAGACCAGATACCAATTTTTCTATAGCCCGAATGGTCTATGGTACACATATTAAAGTACCTGGG